AATTTTTTTTTTTTTTTAATTTTTTTTTTTGGGGGGGAGGGGAGTGGGTTGGCAAATAAGCATTATACAGAGCTCAATCTTTGTGCACCTAAGGTGCATTTCATATCTCAAGTAAATTGTTAATTAATTCTTCCTACAGATTTTGAAATTAAAAGCATTTAATAATTGAAGAGAAGAAAACTTTGAGACGAGATGTCCTCAAATACCAATCTGAAAGCAATAAATAAAATAGGCTCTCAAATCTACTGAAGATCTGTTAAGACCAGTTTATTACTCTAGAAGCTCACTACACCAAATTTGCTCACAGAACCCCAAATGCACATCTGGTAACAGTGCATTAATTTCACCCAAGCAGATTACCTTAGGGGTTGTTTGGTTGGTGTGATAAGGAGAGCTAATCTCCCATATATAATCCATAACCATTTTATGTAATGCTTCTATAACCGAGAAATCCTCGATGGCCAACTGGCGCATGATTTGAAATTCGGTGGATTATTTCATACAATGTTTGGTAACTTCTTTTGTTTTCCTCGTAAATAATACTAGCAGAAGTTTAGCGAGAATCTATGTATTGGATGGAATGTGGAATAAGAATGCGGGTACTAATAATACAAGGATTAAAACACTGAAATGACAAAACTAACCTTTATAAAAGTAAATAAACTTTTCTTTTGTTTAAAAAGTAAACACATTTGAAATTAAAAACATTGTACACTAACTTGTAGTATATTGTACCAAACATCCAACAAGAAATAATCATTGCAATCTTGCATTACTAATCCCTACATAACTAGTCTCTAGACTGAAGAACCCCTAAATTCTTTAGATAGTGCTAACTTAGTTAATATTAATGAAGAGTTTGGGGTTAATTATAAAAGCCGTACCCTATCAATCGTGCTTGTACCAGGTTAAATAGCACAAATCAGCACAAGATCAAGATGAGAGACATTCATGATATAGCTTAGTAACAATCAGAAACATCAACACAATTCACAGACACGGGGAATAAGCCTTGTGTCTCCACAAGAAAGTTAAGCTGACACATGAACTCCACTGAATAGCCCAAACAAGCAAATTAAAATTATTACCTGCTCATCAGCCTGTAAGAAGGTTCTCAAGTCGTCACTTTGCCGAAGTTCGTGATGTGAAGCTATTCTGTTTATGAACACATCCAGAGCTTGACGCCTCATTTCAATAAATTCTGCACTAAATCTGAACTTTTCTGCAAGAAGGTAGAGAATAATAATCTCGAAATGTTTCTTAAGCTCCCAGGCTCTGGTTTGACAAATATATACAGCTTCTTCTAAAAATAAGATCATTTTATTGGTGCAACAGCTGGTAGCATCCCTTGATAGATTCCGATACTCTATCTTTATAACTAATACTTCTCTAAAGAAATGGATCAATGCCCCAAATATAGAAATCCTTACACATATTTGACACAGTTAAATATGTCAATCTATAGCCACTTCCACCTACATGACTCTTAATTCTTGTCCCTCTTATTTCCAATACGCAATCATAAATCAATATATTTCCAGATTGGATATATTAAATACCTATTGGTTTTAGTATATCAAAGAGAAAGCCTGTACATGAGGAAGAAGTGTAACCAGTACCTACTGTGCTCTTCTCTGGAAGTGGAGGAATAAAAATGCCCTTGTATTTCTCAAAAAGACGATCACGTAACCATACAAAATCACTATAACGTCGAATCACAATCTTTTCGTTCCCTTGGTACTCTGGTAAATTTGTCTGTCTTGAAAAAAAATTGGTGAATGAGAACAAGAAAGGAATCAAGAGAAGTATATTCTACATTCTGCTGATAAAAAACATATGGATGCCTGTTCAAGGAACAGGAAGAAGAGAAAACAACAACCACAAGAATAAGCACAAGAAGCAGAATATTTTTGAACCTTAAGTCCAGCAAAACAACTTCCATTTGATGCAGGGATAGGGATATGCAAGGGATACCGATATGTAAGCTCTGGATCCAAAAAGAGTTTTGAACATTAAATTGAGCCTCAAAATGTTCTTAAGTTGTGGTTTCATGGTTTGTTTCAGCCCATTAAAAAAAATAAACAGTGTGCCTAACTCAACCTCAAAAACTAGCTCATAACGTAAAGATTGTCCAAAACTATATAAAGAGATTACAGCCTATACCCTCAAACAATGTGGGAGTGGGACCTAATGCAACCTATGAGGTTCACATCTCAAGCCTCAATGTTCCAAACTAAAGCCACCCCAACTAAATTTCAACGATTCCTTTCCAACATGACCAAAACACCAATGTATTGGTATGAGTTGAGCATAAAGAAAGAAGTCAAGATTCACCTTATCAAGAAAAAGAAGTGAGGATTCATACTGCCACCCCCAACTTTGTTTGGGACTGATGTGTAGTTGTTGTTGTTATGTGTAATGCATACTTTTAAAGGAAAAGATCTTTAGAATTGAACGAAAGTACAAATACCCTAGATGGTACAAAGTACCTATAAGGACCTTTTCCTTAGAACATTAAAGTACCAAATGAAAAAATAGCAAGTGACTTTAGATTTTTTGTTATACAAACTCCAATGTGATTGTTGTGGACGTAATGTAAATAAATAAAGTGTCCAACTTAAATTTAAATAAGCGGCTCACACTATTCAATATAGCATTGGAACAGAGGTTCTAACTCTGCCTGTGCGAGCTTGCTCATGTTATCAATCTTATGCACGGATAAAGGAGTAGGATTGCGGTAGGTTAATAGTTAGTATAAAGCTAGTCAATCTATGATGAGTCCTTACAATACGAACTATGTTGATAATTGAACTAAGATGAGCTTAAATTGAGCAATATGAGCAGTGAGGATTCATACTGAAACCAACTTGCTTGGAAATGATGTGTAGTTATTGTTGTATTAGAGCAGAACCCTGAGTTCGAGTTTCACCACCATTATCAAAAATGAACTTAACATGTTTGGGCCAATAAAGCAAAAGTTTACTTTCTAGAGGTTCTTTTATACCCGCTAAAGACAATTCGAAGCTTTCCAGATTTAGCCACCATAACTATTTATCAGAGGTGCCTAGTTCCACATACGCCAAGATATAGGAATTGTAAGAATATGTTGAACACCGTACACTATTGTACCAATGAAATTACAAAAACCAAACAAAAGAAAAAGAAAAGAAAGAAAAGAACTTTCTTTGCAGTAAGAAGTACAAGACAACCCTTGATTTTAGGACATTCGCAGAAATCATAACAAGGTCAAACTATGAAATGAAAGTATAATCAAGATATGAACAAGAGGTAACTAAGGCATAAATCTGTCCGCATGTAATGTTCAACTCTTCAATTTCTTGGCGCCTCTTCAAAACCCCAGCCTGCTGTCTAGTTTCTCTTCCTATGGATGATGTATCTTAAACTACATAGTTCATATCATCATGAAAACACTATCTATGAGCAAAGTATCAAATCAAGACATTATTCTCTCAAGTCATGCAAATTATGCCAAGGCTTCTTTCCAAATATCTTTTTGGATACCCGAGAAATTTCCAAGGATCATTAGCGCACAGGTCAATACTTGGTGAATACTGGGCCTGACCCTCTACCCTTCTCCATTTAATTACCAAGCTTTTATCTCCAGCAGAGTTCGAATATCGTAACATGCACCTAACCACACAACATGTTTGCGCTCTTAAAACTAGACCAAAGACCTGGGGCATCTTTCCTAATATACATCCAAGGGAAGGTACTTTTCATTTGTTTACTCTGATTCTACATATTAAGCATAGATCACATCTAACCACAATATTACTCTTCCGTTTTATCAGGTGTTATTCACTTTGATCTTAGATCGGATCGAACTTATGCCATTAGATACTCTCAAGTACAGGACAATCCAGCTCAAATTCAAAAAGGGGTTTTCACAAAATATGATTATGAGGCGGATCTAGCATGTGTTTTATGGGTTGACGTGAACCCAATAGATTTTGTCCTGACCATGTATATGTATTAAGAAATAAACTAAATATCTAAAAATATTTACCGGTGAACCCAATTATTGTTGTAAGAACCCATAAACTTCAAATACTGGATCCGGCTCTGAATAGTACTAATACTAATACAAAAATTACACATGCATATACATTGAGAGAAAGGAAACGAATAAAATGACCTTGGTGATGACTTTGTAGGAGATATAAGCTTGAACTCCATTACCCATTTTAGCTGGATCCGTAACTGATACTGATAGAAATGGGGCTTGTGAAGATGGGGATCTAGGGCTCTGTAATGACCCTGATCCACTCCTTTGCTGCACCATTTTACAATTTTCAAAATCAATCAAAACTACAAATTACAAAAATTAGAGTACAAAAAAGAAAGTAAGATTCGTGATAATGGCGGAAAGATAATTACCATAGTGTTCATAGCTGTTTTGCTGGTTAGATTACCGGAGAACGGTGCGAAGATGTGTAGAACTGTCAACTCGCGACTCGTGAATCGTGACTTTGGCCTTTTAGTGAGGAGTCGTACACATGTGGAACATATGAAGAGTCTTAATTGTCATTTTTACAAATTTCACAAACACCAATTTCAATCGGATACTGTTTTTTCCATTCAAAAAGAATGAAATATTTAAGTAAAATTTGTATATATCCACAAGAAAAAGTAAATATTAATACCAACATATCTCATTTTTATGAGAAAATTAGGCATGATTAGAATTAGAAGATTTTTAATTCAAAAATATTTTTGCAAAAAAAAAGAACTTTTTGGCAATAAAGTTTTATGTTTAGAAATTATTAAGAATATTATAAACAACTAAGTGCCTGTCTGGAAAAGAATTTTACTTTTTTCAACAAAAAATTATTTTTTCGCAATTGGTGTTTGGCCATAAAAATTCTAATTTTCGCTTGAAGTTGGATATCGGAATTTTGTCGAAATTTTAAAAACTCCAAAAAACTTATTTTTCAAAATTTTCACTTTAAATCACTCACAAAAATTCAAAAACAGTTCTAAACGGCATTCATGTCCAAACACAACTCTAATTTTCAAAAAAAAAATTTATTTCTTACCAAAATTTCACAATTCCTATGTTCAAATGTCCACTAAGTTTATAGTGAAAAATATTACAACACGTTTGAAAAAATAGTAACCAAGGAAAAAAGTATTTTTTTAGATAGTTATAATTAAATAGGTCGGATATAGCTGCAAGTATTGGGTGACATAATCACTTTTTAAACTAGTACGATTGGATGTGACATGGCAGTATGAACTAGATGTGGAAAGCATAAGTATGACACAGTTCCTTTTGTGTTGTTAATAGCTCAAACGATTGGAAGGCCGATATGTGTAATCTTTTGAAAAAATTGGGCCATGAGGAATGAATTTGCATGTACTCGTAAAGTTCTTTATCCTACTTATGTGCTATCTGAACCTCTAAAATTTTTGAGCGAATGAGAGATTGCCATGACTAAAAAATACTTGGAAAGTCTAGTGAGTGTTTCCATCTCGAGGTGTGGCTCCGTCTTGATCTAAGCCTCCACGTGGGATCTAAAAATGCAATATAGATGCGGTTGTCTTCCTTACTTTGGGCTGCAGTGGAACATAGACTGTTGTGCTATGATTTTTCAAGGTTGTATCAATGTTAGGCTTGCTGAAATTAAGGGTTTATATTTGGCTCTCGTCGAGTAGATTCAACATTTTGGTGGCTCAGATATAATTAAATGAGATATTGAGGAAATTGTGCTTTTTATAATTCAGCAAATGAAGATTTTACAGAGTTTGGAGTGCTTTTAGAAGATTGTCGTTTCTTGTTAGGGAGAAATCCTAATATTTCTCTGATTTCCTTTAAGAGACAGATAAATCTAATTGCATATTGCTTGGCAAGAGAGTATAGAAATTATATTAATCCTTTCTATTGGGAGTGTGCACCTAGTTTTATTATAAATTTTGATTACTGATTCAGTCTAATAAAAATCTTTATTTGAATTGAAAAAAATCAACGCTAAAAGTTTAGTTATTGTTTGAAATGTAATTGAAACATAATTACTTTTTAACATGAAAATAAAATTTAAAGAAAAATACCAGGTGAATTAGTTAAATGACCTTGTACAAAAAGTAATAAAAGTTCGTGACAAGTTGAATAAATATTTTTAGATTGTGACCCCGTGGAGTAAGTATCAGCTTCAATTGGATGTCTTGTTAAAATTAACATAAAACGAAGGGTAACTTTGCTAAATTTGAAAGTTAGATTTTTACTTTGTGCTACTAGTTGTTTTTGCTCCTTTTTTTTGTCAAGAAAGATAAAAACTTATATTAGATAATAAACTATTACAGGGAGGTAGAAGCAGTAGGCCTACTATGGGCCAAAGTTACATTGTTACTACATAACATTACAATGGGATCTCTAACGGTATCCTTACTATGGGTTTCCATAAGTGGATCAAAACGATGTCAACACTAGGCAGTGCTTGTGGTGGATTTACATGTGTGGAGGTAGTGGAGTGATAAAAAATATAAGTATTGACAAGGCATTTAGTAGCTACTCCTTGTAGGTCCGCTTGGTACGCGTCCATTGCAAAAGGTGGTGGTGAGTCGAGAAGCAGCATTGTAATATTTACTAGGGTAGTCCCATACTTTGCTAGTTGGTCAGCAACCATATTCTGGTCCTTGTAACATGCTTGATAGGAGGATCATGCAGCGTGTTGGGCAAGTACCTGCAATCATTAAGAAGGGGAGATAAGTGGGTGTGCTCGTTGTAAATTAAAGACAATACAGCCGTGGCATCCACATTAATTTCCAACGGCTAGAACTTGTATTGATCCGCCAGTTGCAATCATCTTAAGATGGCTAATAATTCCATTTCATTGCTTGAGCCTGAGAAGGAGTGCCTAGTAAATCCTAGTAACCATGTTCCATCAGATTTGCGAAAAATTCCACCAAAACCATTGGATCTGTTGGTCGAAGTAGAGGCCCCATCTGTGTGTAGCTAAAAGACCCCATGTTGTGGTGGTTGCCATTTCACATACATTAGAATTTTGGGTGTATATCTTGGTATAGAATGAGTGAGGTAGAAAAATTTTGATGCTCTAGTGATGATAGTTTGAGGAGTGGGGAGATGGCGTAAATTATGGAAGGAGTTGGAATTATGAGTTAACCATAAATACCACAGGCAAAATGGTAGGAATATAGTAGGGGGTAGTGAATTAGGAAAGGGAGTATACCGTAAGCGAGTTATTGTGTAGAGCCATTGTATCCAGCTAGTGGGGTGACTAAAATTGCATTCTAACTCATGTAAAATATTAAGTTGTGACCAAAGGAATTTGGCATTGGTACATTGAAGAAAGATATGTTGGAGGGACTCCTCCTGGTGACAGATTTGGCACAAATTATCTGGGGTAATGCTAAGCTTATACAGATAAGCTTTTGTGGGTAGACTTTCATGACTACATAACCATAGGAAATGCGTAATTTTTGGAGGAATATGCAACTTCCAGATCCATGTGAAAGTGGCGTTTGTGTTCTGTTATAATAGGGCAAGGTAGGAGGATTTAACGGTAAAGAGGCAATTGTTGGTAAGGGCCCAGGACAGTTTATCATTGGTGATAGAAAGTTGGGGTAGGTAAATGCTGCAAATTTGATTAGTGATATGAGGCGGGAGATCAAAAGATATGTTGGAAAGGTTCTAGTGTTTGTTGGTAATGAAATTTGTAACATATAGTGTACTTTCACGATAAGTGAGGGGGGCGCAAATAAGGGATATGAGGGGTGTATTTGGTGCAAACCATGAGTCATGCCAAAAATTCACAAAATTACCATTGTATATTTTCTAAAAGGCTCCTTTTTGACAGTTAATCCAGCCTTGTGTGATGTTATGCCAGATAAATGAAGAATGGGTTGATCTTCTGGTTCTGGATTTACAGTATTTAGGAATGAGGTTGGAGGCTCATAAAGTAGTGGGGGAATGAAATAGTCACCGCGCAAGCGATGCATGTAGAGCATTATTTTTAACGGATAATTTTTTAATGCCTAATCCCCCCGTGATTTTGGGTAGTGACTATATCCCATTTAATAAGATGTAATCTTTTTTTGTGGTCTACCCCGGAGGAAATTTCGCTGGTAGCGTTCAAGATACTTAATGATATAGGGAGGGAGCTTAATGTATTACATGACGTAATTTGCCAGAGTATTTAAAGTACTTTTAATGAGGGTGGTACAACATGCCATAGTAAGAAAAGTGGTTTTCCACCCTGCTAAACGAAGCTTAAAATTATCAAGGATAAATAGGAAGTCCCTTTTTGCTGGCTTCTTTAGAAAAATGGGAAATCCTAGATATTTTCCAAAGGGTTTACCTTCCAACATGTTGAAGGCCTGGAGTATTGAAATTCTAAGGTGTTGGGGGTAGTTATTGGAGAAAAATATATGAATTTTTTTAAATTAATCTTCATACCAGACCACTCTGAGAAATGGCGAAGAGTGTTGATAATTGTTGTGCAGGAAGTGGAAGTAGTGCGTGAAGTAAGTATAATGTCATCCGCAAAAAAAATGTGAGATTGGAGAACCTGTTGGATATAAAGTAATAGGGTACCAGGAGTTGTAGTCTAGAGCAACATGAATGCTTCTAGATAACATTTCCATACAATAAGTATGGTGATAGAAGATCTCCTTGCCGGATACCGCTGGAATGTTTGAATACATTTATGGGTGTGCTGTTAATCAAAATAGAGATTGATGAGGTGAAAACACATGACATAATCAAGCGTACTAGGGGTGTAGGAAAATTGTAGTAGGTAAGAGTATATTTTATGAAAGACCATTCGAGGCGATCAAACGGTGACATAGTTTAGGAATGAATATCCGTAACTCCCATTCCAGTACTTAAACTGACAAAATGAGTTTAGCTAAGACGATTTCGGAAATTAGAAACTTATTTGAGTAACATGCTAGAATTGGCACCTCGCATTGTGCGAAATTTATTGATTATCTCCTGGACAATGATAGCATTATCCGATGCTCGTTTGTGTTGCTGAAAGCTAGTTTGAGTGGGATGTATGAGTGTGTCCAGAAATGGCTTGATACGATTGACAATAATTTTGGTGATAATTTTATAAATTGTGTTACATAAACTAATAGGGCGAAATCAATGGACTGTTGCCACGTTCTTAAATTTTGGGGATGAGGCATAGGTAAGTTGAATTAATATTCTCAGGGATGGTTTGGATAGCGAAAATTTGGTGACAAATGGCAAGGACATGTCATTGAATTTCATGCCAGTAGTGTTGGTAGAAGTAAGGGTGCAAGCCATCCGGCCCCATTGCCTTGAGTGCCTTAATAAATGATCGTACTGCTTAAATAATTTCCCTATCCTCTAGTTTATCAAGAGTATTGCATGCTTCTGGCCGTAGAACATGGTGAGTGGCTATAGAAAAGGTGTTGTGGGAATAGATGGATTCCGTAGTAAATAATCCCGCGAAATATTTCCATAGAGTATCGTGGATTGATGGCAAATCATAGCAACAGTTACCAGCTGTATCTTGCAGGGCAGTGATTCTAT